ACATTTAAATTTGACCTCGCTGATATGGACTTCCAAACATCTGGTTCTAGGAGAGACCTGCCTCCTGAATTCAGACCCAACTTCCTGACCAACATGTCCATGTGAATTTCCAACAGGCTTATAAATCAAACCTGTCCTACGCCAAGTTCCTCATATTCCCCCACGCAGGCTCCTTCCCAGTCAGCCCAGGTTAAATGCTGCAACTCCACTCTCCCAGCTGCTCAGAGCAAAGCTTCAGGACACTGCCCTTGTATCTCTTTCCCTCCTCCTCCTTACATCAGCAAATCATGATGGTTTTACCTTAAAGCACTGTTTTTCAACCTGGGCACTACTGGCAAGTAGGGGAGGGATAATTCTTTGTTGTGGGGGTCTGTCTTGTGCGTTTTAGAACATTTAGCAACACCCCTGGCTTCTACTTTGATGTCGGTAGCACACCCCAGTTGTGACAATCCTAAATGTCCTTTGCTGGGCAAAATTTTCCCTGATTGAAAACCAGACTTTATATATATCCAACACTCAACCCCTTCTTATCACCTTCATTGACATGGCCTTGGTTCAAGCTATTATCATCAGCTGTCCTTATTTCCACAGTAGCTTCCTAACTAGTCTCCTGTTTCCACTTCCTGATCACCCAGGATAATCCTATTAAAAGTATTATTAAAAAAAAGAAAAAAAGATCATGCCACCCTTCTCTGAAAACCCCCCAAGCCTTTCTATCTCACCCAAGAGCAAAAGCCAAAATTGTATGCTGATCTATGAAGACATACCTGATTTGGGTGCCCTTTCCCCTCTGACCTGACCTCCATCACTGCCCGCCATGTTTGCCCTGCTCCAGAACGCTGGACTCTTCTCAGGTCCTCAAACAAGCCACACCCACATCTGTCTCAGGGTCTTTTGCCCTTGTGGTTCTCTCCGAGTGGAATGTTCACCCTGATATCCCCATGGCTGGCTCCCTCACTTCCTTCAGGTCTTTTACTCAAATTCCCTTCTGCGGTGAGGGAGCCCCTAGCCCACCCATTTCAAATGTCACTTATGTGTGGACTCTAAAAATTGATATAAATGAACTTATTTACAAAACAGAAACAAACTTAACCCACATAGAAAACAAACTTACAACTACTAAAAAGGAAAGGTGGGGAGGAGGGATAAACTAAGAATTTGGGAGCAACATATACACACACTATACACAAAACAGATAAACAACAAGAACCTCTGTTCTTGTTGAACCTGTTCTTGTTGAACCCTGTAGCATAGGGACTGCTACTCAATATTTTGTAATACCGATATGGAAAAAGAATATACATATAACTGAATCACTTTGCTGAACACCTGAAACTTAACACAACATTGCAAACCAAATATATTCCAATAAAAAATAAATTTTAAAAACTGCAAAAAAATAGTCATCTATCATTGTATATTCCTCCTCCTTTCCTTACCTTTCCTTCTAAGCCCTCATTACCAACCAATATACTCCCCATTTAACTTCTGGACTGTGTTTATTAATCTGTACATGAGGATCAAGGATTTGTCTCTTTTATTCTCAACTTATCTGTAAGAGCACCTGGCACATAGTGAGGTCTCCTCAAGGATCAGAAGAATGAAGCAACCTCTCAGAGCCAGTAGTGAGGAATTTTTAAAGAGATCACTAGTTATCATAGCTTCAGAGACCATAATCTGCTCATCTCCAGGAAGCAAGCAGACAGCAATAGTATATGTTTACCTAAAACAACAAACAGCATCACTCCTTATCTGATACTTTTGCTGACATGATCCTTCTTTCTTGGATGACAAAAGCCAAACACTAAATATAGATCAATGGATCTCATCACAATGATGACAGGCATTCAATAGCCTTGCTGGATCAATGACCTCACAGTCTGTACCTCACCAGACTCTCTCTTGGTAGAGAAAACATAGCAACATAATATATCACTCACTTATTATTCATCAATCCATTGTTTTTCCACAGCCAAGACACACTTAGAAATGCCTCTGATTTGGCTGAGGTTGACTAACACCTAATCTATGGATGCGGGAAAAACAATAGGTACAAGTAAAAAGCTTAAATGACTGGCAGTACAATCTAAATAGGGAGAATGGTTTCTAGGTTTCTAAAATAAGGTATATTTATCTGGGTCTCCATGGAAATCTGTTCAAATTCCAGATTATACTGGACCTGAGTTATTGGGTTTGATAATATACTCCAAAAATGCAGCTAATTTCAAATGCAATTGAGTTTTTAATTCAAATAAAATATAATAAATCACACATAAGTATGTACAGATTCTAAGCAGGCTAACTTGCTTCAGTCATGTCTGACTCTGCAATCCTATGGACCACAGCCCTCCAGGCTCCTCTGTCCACAGAATTCTCCAGGCAAGAATATTGGAGTGGGTAGCCATGCCCTCTTCCAGGGGATCTTCCTGACCCAGGGATTGAATCAATGTCTCCGGCACCTCTTACATTGGTAGGCAGGTTCTTTACCACTAGCAGCACCTGGGCAAGACCTGAGGTTGTCTTTCAAGGTGATGATCCAGAATTGCTCTAGAGCATATGACTTCTCAAACTGATTTATCTCTTAGCTTTAAAAGAATAGTGCATTCATGTCAGCACTATTCATAATAACAAAAAACTAAAAGCTAGTGAAATGGCCATGCAATAGAGGAAGAATAGATGAGCAAATAGAGTACTGATTAAATAAATTCATAAAACTGCAAAAGAAAACTATGCAACCAATTAAAGATGAAATTGACCCATGTGCACTAGTATGTAATATTTACCAAGTCATCATTACATGCTGAAAGCAACATGCAGAGTAAGATACCGCCAAGTATGATTCTGATTGTATGAAGTACTGTTTGTCTGTATGTACATGTTGTTGCTGTTGTTTAATCATTAAATTGTGTCCGACTCTTTTGCAACACTATGGACTATAGCCTGCCAGGCTCTACTGACCATGGAATTTCCCAGGCTCTAAGAATACTGGAGTGGGTTGCCATTTCCTTCTCCAGGGGACCTTCCTGACCCAGGATTGAACCAGCATCTCCTGCACTGGCAAGAGAATTCTTTCCCACTGAGCCTCCAGAGAAGTTCATAAGGTATGTACAAATCAGAAATTTTCAGATCCACATTCTCTACCATTCCACACTCAGCTTCCCATCCAGAAGGCAGAACCATAAAAAGTAATAATAATAAAACATATGTGTGTGCATTTTGTGTGATTTATTTACACAACTATGCACAGAGAGGTACTTCCTTACATGTGCAAGGGATATTTCTGAAGGATATATAAGAAATTGGAATACATAGCCTAGACTCTGGCTTTTAATTTTATATCTCTGAGATCTTTTTTACTTTTAAAATGACTGATCACATACAAGGAACAAATTCATAATTTATCAATGAAACCATACAGGAAAACATACATTATTACCTTTTTGATGGCACATAAATGAGATAAAGAAGTAATGAATACCGGGGAAAATAAGAGCGATGACATAGATATTCATTTTGAACAGTGCAAAGCATCTGATGGGAAGGATTCTCACTTCTAAAACTTAAGTGTGACAGTTACCACAGTGTCCCTCACTGTAGAGTGGGTCTGTGCCATTTTGTTCCATTGACCTACTTTTAGAAAAACAGACCTATTTTTAAAATTTGCTTCAAAATAAACCCATTTTCTTAATACATCCCATTCACGTTTCAGATTTTCTACTTTCCATCTTAATTGCACTTTTTTGAGAACTTTAGACCAGAGTACAGCCATATAAATGTGCTTATTTAGATTTGATAAAATGTGTAGTCTTTTCTGACTAAAATAAAATAGCCCCTTTGCAAAAATGCAATCTTGACTTTTAGAACTATTTCCAAAGCTTTCTAAAACTACTGTGAGGTAAAAAATGAAAATCACTAATGTGGCATTAGAGTCCACAATTAAATTAATTTATAAGGGCTTTAATGCAATTAAATTTCCTCCAGACTGTATCTCTAATGGTGCTGGGGTTTTACTTAATTTACTTTAAAGCATAATTCACTTTCGTTTTTGCAAAGCCATTTAAATATTACAAATATCACTTTTATACATATTTCCATGGTGACATAATATGTTTGCATTCTATTTAATTTACAGATGATGAGCCTAAAATGAAAATTCTCCAAGGACCATAGATCTTCTATGACATCACAGTTTCCAACTCGAAGATATTAGGTGTATAAGTTATCTGTATTTGCTAGAATGGACTCTTGAAACAGGAATATGTATTTTATGATCTGATTGTGAAACAAAGAAAATTAAAATCTACGACAAAGAAAAACATCAGTGATACAAACAGCCAAGATGTTTGGGTTTATAATTTAAGTTGATAAAGTATTAGCCTTTAAAATTAAACAGTGCTCTTCCACAGTCACATTAAGGAAATATTTAGAAAAGAACATAATTTATATGCAAGTCTCCAAACCTCAGCTTATTCATATACTCATGTACAAGGTAGCTAAGGGTCTCCAAACACATTAAGGCCACTGTATAATCACAACTAATGGGCAAAGCTGTTGGGATAATTTTCCATGCTTCAAAACTTAGATATACAGAATGTATGCTAGAAAATGTACAATAATAAATACCTAGCTAGTTTATACCATAAAAGAAAGAGAGATACATTAATATTTCAAATCATTTTGAGGATATCAACTAAATTCAGATGCCATTTTCACTACAAATGTGTTGCACAGTGGTGATATAATGACGAAAGAGAAACAGACCTAACTATGGAGATCATAACTTTAATTGACAACAACATGAAAATTCAGAAGGATAACAAGCATCACGGACGGAGGTGAAAATTATATAGGAATAAGAATCAAATGTATTATAAAGAAGAACCTATTTTTTTTCCTCTCTGGAGATTTCCCACTCCTTCATGGGTAAGAAGGACAAGAATGGAAAGAATATTCTTCTCATTAATGAAAATGGGACAAAGGAACATCCAGGACATTCCTACCTGGTTTCCAGATGAACTGATTATCCTTTTTGCCTTCCAAATGAGCCGCATGGGGCAGCAAGAGAGAAAGTAACAGAAATAGCTTCCTCATGCTCCTCCATACCCAGCCAGTGACAGCCAGATTACACTTCGGAAACATTCTTCAGAATTCAGCCTCTTGACTTTCCTATTCCTAAAAGGAAAAAAAAAAGAACATCACGTAAGTTTCTTCTGTAAAGAAACTACAAAAACTCACTTCAACTGCTAGCACTTTTAGCAAAATGGCATTATAAATGTTCAAGATCATAAAGAGGGTATATAGAATATTGTTAATAATATTTTAAGGTCAGATGTGAATTATTCCATGTTTTCAATCTTGACCCATGGGAGGCGGGTTCTTTACCACTAGTGCCAGCTGGGAAGCCCTCACCCATGGAAGGCACTATCAATTCTAAGGACTCTATATGAGCGCACTGTCCACAGTCCCCCGTACAGTTGATCTCTGTTTTTAAGAGCAGGGTTGGCAGAGACCTCGTATGCTCCCTCTTACTCAGTCAAACTCCTTGAGGATCCCATGATTTGGGGAGAAAGATCAGCATATACAGCAAAGTCCAAAATAGGGCAATGAATGCTCTAACAGTGGTATTAAGAAAGTGAGAGGGAACAATCTAGAAGACGGCAATTAGTTCCTCTGTGATGAGAAAAAAAAAAATAGGGAAATCTCACACAAGGTAACGTTTGAGATAAGCCAGAGGCAAAGGGCTTGAATGTGTTAGGAAGGCATTTCAGGCTGGCTGAGAGAACTCGGCACTGAAATGCATTTTGTATTTGGGACCAGGGAGTGAGCCAGTGGCTACAATGAAGGACACAAAGCAGAGGGTGGAACGGACAGAGATGAGATTTAGCACGTAGGTTGGGGAGCAAATTATAAAGAGCCTTGAATGTCATGTGAGGGCTTTGGGGTCCATTCTGTAAACAACAAGAATCAGAGGGAGGCAAATGAATTTAAATAACTGACATCAGTGAACAAAACGGATCACAGAGAAACTGAGGCCAGTTAGGAAACTAGGTAAATATTCCAGACAAGTACTAGTAAATGAAAGGATCAGAAGAAATTTCAAAATTTAGTTTACAGGCTAGGTGTGATGGATTTGGTTACCAATTGGATGGGATGTATGAGAGAGATAAGATAAAAAAGACAGATTCCAGAGCTGATGGGACTCCTCCTCCAAAAAGGAGAAACAGGAAGAGGGACAGATTTTCAAAAGAAGATAAAGACAATTTCCTTAAGAGAATATCAAATCTGGTGTGCCTGCAGGACACAATCCTGCAGGTAGTTTTCAAAAAGACATAAGAAGATTCTACACTGAGTTAAAGAGATCTAGGGAGAACATGAAAGTTAGTTGCTCAGTTGTGTCTGACTCTTTGTGATCCCATGATCGCCAGGCTCCTCTGTCCATGTGATTTCCCAGGCAAGAATACTGGAGTGGGTTGCTATTTCCATCTCCAGGGGATCTTCCCAACCTGCCACAATACAAAATTTTAGAAAATATACTGATAGGTAAAAGGAAAAACAAGGATATGTTAGAAAAATACACTGATAGATAAAAGGTGATAAAAGGATGAAACAGGTAATTATTGCCCCTAAGCATTTTCCAAAGAATTGCTGAAAGTGGGGAGCAAGTCTGACTGTGAATTTCCTAGATCAAAAAAAGAAAGAAAAAAGACAAAAAGAAGTTGGTACTATAGCCCTCATATACAGAGGAGTAAAGTACATGTTCTTTTCGTATCGTTTTAGGAGAAGCCATCACCCTGCTCCCAAGCAGTGGTGGAATTAACCCCAAGAGTTCTCATCAACACAGATGCCATGCTGAGTCATGCACTCAACGCATCCCCTCATCAATAAAACAGACAACAGCAATCTGTAGTCGGTGGGGTCTCGGACTCCTGTAGAACACTCCAAGGGTACAGTGGCAAAGTACAAGTCAGTGAAAATGATGCTGCAAGGAGTCAAGTAATGGAGTTCAAGGACACAGCTCTCTGACGGCTTGCCTTGGTCCAGGAATGAAGAGAATACTTGGGTAAGCAACCAAAAGCTTCTCCTCTGTTTCTGCATTGCATACCAATATCGCAAGAGTGGAGTGCTGCCACTGAAACGAAACAGAGCTGCCTTGCTTGACTGTTTGTTCCCAGGAGTGGCCTGTTAGGCTATCCCAGGGAACCTGTGAGGCGCTACTGGACACACTTCATAAACGTTTGGATGAGACACACGCTGTACCCTTACATGAGACCCCTTTGTGCACATACACACACAGACACTTCAGGTGATGGGTACTTCAGGTTGCTAACGGTAAAACCACATGCTTAACAAGCCACACAACAAGGAATGGTTTGGCAATTTTATTATGATATTTTAAAGTCTGCACACATACACACGCATGCAAGTAGTCAATTCATTCTTCATAATACAGATTTGCTACAAAAACTGGTGTGCACATTTTTTTAGAAGGTTCCATTGCCATTAATTCCATGAAGTCAGCTGAAAAATATCTAAATACTGCCCCCATAATACAACATGGGTAGACCTAGAGCAGGCAGAGAAAGACAAATATCATATGATGTCTCTTCTATGTGGAATCTAAAAAAGAATAATACAAATGAACTTATGTATAAAACAGAAGTAGAGTCACAGACAGGGAAAACAAACTTGATTATTAAAAAGGAAAAAGGGGAGGTATAAATTAGGATTTGGGATTAAAATATACATACTGCTATACAGAAAACATAACTAACAAGGACCTACTGTATAACATGGGGGCTATACTCAATATCTTTTAATAATCTATAATGAAAAAGAATCTAAAAAAGAATGCATATATAATGCATAACTGAATCACTTTGCCGTATACCTGAAAATAATACAAAATTGTAAATTAACTATATTTCAATGAAAAAAAATGTAAAAGACAAGATAACTTCCTAGTGAGTCCTACAAATCAAATTAGCTTAAAAAAAAATACCCCTGGGAAAGCAAATGAATTGGCTTTCTGTATAATGATGGATTTAAGTCATTGTAATGTTAGAGAACTTTTGATTAAAAAGGATGATTAGGGCAGTTGATCTTATGCTATTATTATTACTATTAATATACTAATTAACCAGCAGGACCAACTCTCTACTGAGACCACTTCTTTTGTGACAGGAAATCACCAGGGTATAGGTGATGACTTTGTTTATTCTCACTGGTGGGAGACAGACTTTCAGCATATCTAAGAGCATATTCATGTCATTACAAGGTAAGCCAAAGAGATGCAGGGCCCAAAGCATGCTTATTCAACTCTAAATGGCCATAAGTGAGAAGCCAAAAAAAGATTTAAAAGGATTTGGAGTTCCAGTGAGACTGCATGTAAGCATGAGCTGATTAGCCAATAATTTATGTATAAATAAGTGTATATATAAATATTTTGAATTTTGCATCAATCTTTGTTTTTTTATTGTAAGACCTGAACAGAGTTGCTATGAGACTACAAGAAGTAGGCTTCCTCACTGGCACAGAGCTCTGTACTAACTCTGCAAAGGGACCCACTGGCTTTAAGGGTCCTTTTGTGTTCACCTAAGCCAGTGGAAGATCTCTGAAGAAAGTGGCTTACAGACTCCTGTCCTCACCATTATCTCCTGGCTATCACTGATTAATAAGGATAATGACAGTAAAGACACAGAGAACAGACTTGTGGCTGTCAAGGGGGAGGGAGCCTGGGACTTTGGGACTAGCAGATGCAAACTATTATATAGAGGATGGATAAACAAGGTCCTACTGTATAGCATAGGAAACTATATTCAATATCCTGTGATAAACCATATAAAGAACAATATATATATATATGTTTATGTGTGTATCTGATTCACTTTGCAGTACAGCAGAAATTAATACAATATTGTAAATCAACTATACTTCAATAAAATTAATTAAAAAAAAAAAAACAAGGACAGTGGCAGTAGAAACCTACAACTAATCTTGACTTAAAAAAAAATGAAATGGAGATCTTAGAGAATGCACCAAAGCATCTCAGTTCAGGAGGCCACAGCAATTTTACTCCTAAAAACACCCACACATTTTTAGCATCTGTACTAGCTAAAACCCTATACCTCATTACCTCTCTTTTCCCAAGAAACTTGAGAACAGAGGATGGGAAATTAGGTTTGAAGAAGTTTCCACCATTCGTCATGCTTTATATCCACTAGTAAATGGAGAATCTCTGCTGAGTTGATGGAACATGCAGGATGGGATTTGAACACAGGTTTGTCTTACTCCACTAAACTATGCTGCCTCTATTCCCTCTAAAGACCTGAAATTCACTAAATTACTCCTGGGAAGACACTAGGAGTCATACTTGTATCCCTTACTTTAAAAGCCACACAAGAGTTGACAATAAACACAAGGAGAGGAAATTAGGAACAATTAGACCTGCCACTTCTCTGTCTGTAAAACACAACTGGAAAAATGCTGTAACTACCTTGAAAAAATATATTATTCAGGAAGCATGTGCTACTCACAATGGCATGAATAATTTATATCAGGAAGGTCGTTGAGTCTCCAAATCAACTTATTTACTATATATCTTAGCATCCAAAATGTATTTGCGAGGTTAGCTCTAAACTGATGAATACTAAGAGAAATTTAAAAAAAAAATAGTTTCTCCTTTTACCCTCAGTTTTCTAATCATTTAAAGGCCATTCAAAATATGAAAAATGTGCTTTACACTTCATATGCATTTCATTTTCCTTTAAATGCATTCTTATCGTTGAAGTCCTTGAATATTTAAAAAGGTAAAAAACTTCAAAATAAAATAAAAACTTGCAATTTGCTTACAGCCTGAAGGAACAGCAACGAGAAGAGCAAACTTGATTGTGCACATCCCCATAGCGCCATCTCATGGCAACTCTGCAGAGACAATGGCTCAGTAAAGATGCCTGGGTAGCAGCGGCTAGAGGGGAGGATACCCACAGTCCAGATCAACTCTGTTGACCAGGATGGGAGCTCCAACCAGTTGCCAAGAGCAAGTAATTGTTAACTAAACACTGCTAAAGAACCAAAGAAGCATTTCCTTTTCCTCAGCCATTTGCCTAATTTCTGATTGCAGTATTGTGCACTGCATTCCA